TCCTGAGGGAGAGGGTGACGGGGGGGGGGGAGAGGGAGAGAAGGGGGCGTGGGGAGAGAGGGGGGAGGGGCATGTCCTGAGGGAAGGGGATGACAGGGGAGAGGGATGAGAAAGGGGGGGAGGAGGGGTATGTCCTGAGGGAAGGGGATGACAGGGGAGAGGGAGAGGGAGAGTAGGGGGCGTGGAGAGAGAGGGGAGGGAGGGGGGGGTAGAGGTCCTCCTGATTGGTCTGTCCTGTCCGGTGCAGGTCAGGCGCGGCGTGCGGGGTGACTGTCCATTTCACTCGTATGCAGATTCTGTGTGATTTGAGGGCAGAGGTTGTGGCTCAGGCGCTGTGTGTTTGAGTATGTGTGTATATACGTATATATGTATATATGTGTGTGTGTGTGTGTGTGTGTGTGTGCGTGTGTGTGTGTATGTGTGTCTCTGTGTGTGCGAGTGTGTATGTGTGTGTGTCTGTGTGTGCTAGAGCGAGTGTGTGTCTATGTGTGCGAGTGTATGTGTGTGTGTGTGCGTGCGTACGTGTTTACGTGTGTACATGTGTATGCCTGAGCGCTTCTTTATAGATTTTGTCGTCTGTTAATTCAAACTACATTACACTTCCATTCCGGATGAATTTAATTACAGACGAGAACAAAGGCTTAAAATTTCTCTTCAAAACAAGGATGCATTCAGCACACGGTAAAAATATTTTCGTATTTGTGTGATGTGTTTATGTATATGTAAGTCATGGTTTTCTTGTTTTTTATGTTTAGTTTTATTATTGTTGTTGTTGTTGTTATTGTTACTGTAATTGTTATTATTATTATTATTATCATTATTATTATTGTTATTATTATTATTATTATGTTTGTGTGTGTGTGTGTGTATGTGTGTGTGTGCGTGTGTGTGTGTGTGTGTGTAAGTTTTAAGTTCGGTCTATTAGTTCTCTCTTCTATTTCCCCATTCGTTTTCTTTCTCTGCTGTTTCTCCTACATCATAAAATTGCGGAGAGGAAGGAAGGTACGCTCAATGTCTATATTTATCTGTCTATTTATATCTGTTTCGTTATTTATCTTTCCATCCATCTTTCTGGCTACCTGTCTATCTATCTATCGATTTTTCTATCTATCTATACGTTGATTTATCTACCCGTCCATTTATCTGTCTATCTATCTGTCTCTCTCTCTCTCTCTCTCTCTCTCTCTCTCTCTCTCTCTCTCTCTCTCTCTCTCTCTCTCTCTCTCATTGTCTCTCTCTCTCTCTCCCTTCTCTTGTCTTCTCTTCTCTGTCTCTCCCTCCCACCCTCCCTCCCTCTCTCCCCACCCCCACCTTTCTCTCTCTCTCTCTCTCTCTCTTCACTGTCTCTCCCTCCCTCCCTCCCCCCACCCCCACCTCTCTCTCTCTCTCTCTCTCTCTCTCTCTCTCTCTTCTCTGTCTCTCCCTCCACCCTCCCTCCCCCCCTCCTCCCACCCCCACCTCTCTCTCTCTCTCTGTCTCTCTATCTATCTCTCTCTCTCTCTCTCTCTCTCTCTCTCTCTCTTCTCTTGTCTTCTCTTCTCTTCTCTGTCTCTCCCTCCCTCCCTCCCTCCCTCCCCACCCCCACCTTTCTCTCTCTCTCTCTCTCTCTCTCTCTCTCACCTTTTTTACGGTTGATTTCTTCTCGGTCATGTTTTTGTAAGCCCCAAATTCCTATTTTAATTGTGTACGTTATCCCTTTGTTTTCCTCCGACTAAGTATTTCCCTCGCCGCGCTGTCTGTTTTTTTTCCCTTGTCTCCTTGTCTGTCTGTGTGTCTGGCTGGCTGGCTGGCTGGCTGGCTCGCTCTTGATATCTGTCTCTCTGTCTTTGGGTCTTTGGGTCTCTCTCGTTCTCGCTGTCTCTCTTTCTCTTTCTCGTTCTCGCTGTCTCTCTTTCTCTTTCTCGTTCTCGCTGTCTCTCTTTCTCTTTCTCGTTCTCGCTGTCTCTCTCTCTCTCTCTCTCTCTCTGTCTCTCTCTCTCTCTCTTTCTCTCGTTCTCGCTGTCTCTTTCGCTCTCTCTCTCTCTCTCTCTCTCTCTCTCTCTCTCTCTCTCTCTCTCTCTCTCTCTCTCTCTCTCTCTCTCTCTTCCATCTTTTCCTCCTTTTAATCCTCTTCTTCCTTCTCCCTTTTTCCTCCTCTCCCTCTTCTCTCCTCCCCCTCCCCCTCTATTACCCCACCCTTTATCCCATCACACCCCACCCCACCCTCCCTCTATCCCCTACCCCCCCACCTCCCCCTCTATCCCATCACCATCCCACCCTCCCTCTATCCCCTACCCCCCCCCTCTCTATCTCCTACCCCTCTACCCCCCTACCCTACCCCCCCCCTCCCCCGTGTGTGCGCGTCTGACCCCGACGGAGCTTGACCGTCGTCGAGGTCACAGCCTCCGTCCGAAGAATTTCCTGGCGTGGCTCAACGTCCTTTGCGAGGCATTCCTTCTCCTCCGTCGGCGCCTCCTTCTTCGGGGCTTGGGAGGGAGGGAAGGGAGGGGGTAAGGAGGGGAGAGATGGGTGTGTGTGTGGGAGGGAAGGAGGGATGGGTGGGTGAAAGGGAGGGAAGGAAGGGAGGGAAGGAGGGATGGGTGGGTGAAAGGGAGGGAGGAAATGGAGGAGAAAACGTGGGAGGAAGATTTTAGGAAGATAGAAGGAGATGGAAGGAAGGCTTTCTGTTCTGTTCTTCCTCTCCTTCTCTCCCCCTCCTCCTTCCTTCCCCCTTCCCCTTCCCCTTCCCCTACCCTCCCCCCCTCCTACTGCAACATTCAAGAGTCAAATAATGCAACATAATTCATTTAACGGAAGACAAACGGCCTTGCAGATTGCCTCGAAGCTTCCGATTGCGAAGAAAGGGACAAAGTGGAACAGTTATATTTTTTTTTTTTTTGGGGGGGGGGGTGGGGGGAGGGGGAGGGGGGAGGGGGAAGTTATGAAATAAAGGAGGGAGATGGAGGAGAAGAAGATGAATAAGGATAAAAGAAGAATAAGAATAAGAAGAAGATGGAGAAAAAGAAGAAGAAGAAGGAGAAGAAGAAAAAGAAGATGCAGAAGAGAAAGAAGATGGAGAAGAAGAAGAAGAAGATGGAGAAGAGAAAGAAGAGGAAGAAGATGGAGAAGAAGATGGAGAAGAAGAAGAAAAGTAGAACAGTTATATATATAAAAGAAAAGAAAAGAAGAATAAGAAGAATAAGAAAGAAGAAGATAGAAAAGTTATAAACCACAAGAAGAAGAAGGAGAAGAAGCAGAAGAAAGAAAATAGAAGAACATAAAACAGTTATAAACCATTTTCTTTTCCTTTGGGCGATTACGAAAAAGGGGAAAAGAAGAAGAGGAAGAAGAAAAAGAAGAAGAAGAAGAACAGTTATAATTTATTTTTCCTTTCCGGAGATTAGGAAAAGAGAGAAAGGAAAAGAAGAATGAAGAAATGGAAGTGAAAATTAGTAAATAAACGAAATAGGTAACACGAAAAAAGTACAATAACTATTTATTATCTTTTTACATTACATTTTATTTATTTATTTATTTATTTTTTCAATATTATTATTATTTTTTTTTTTTAGTTCTTTTATTACATTTTTTTTTTCATTTTCATAACAATAATTAAGAATTATAGCAATCCCTCCTAGAAAAAAAAAAAAAAAAAAAAAAAAAAAAAAAAAAAAAAAATATATATATATATATATATATATATATATATATATATATATATATATATATATATATATATATATATAATAAAAAGAAAAAAGGAAATATGATAATCCATGTTTTTTTTTCTTCTTTTTTTTTCTTTTTAATCCCATGCCCCCCCTCCTCCCCCCCCCAAAAAAAAAAAAATCCCCCAAAAAACTTTTCTTTAATCTGCTATTTTATTTTATTTATTTACTTTATTATTTCTTATCCCCTGAAATTTGCCCGAAATAAAATAAAACAAAGAAAATGGAATAAATAGATAAAAATAAGCAATTGTGTAACTCGTTTCTCCAGACGTTCGTCCTCCCCCCCCCCTTACACTCCCCCCCCTTCCCTACAGCCGTGTATCCCTGGGCGGTGGGGGGGGGATGCCTCGTGGCTATATTGGAGGGGGAAGGGGGGGAGGGGAAGGGGGGAGGGAGGGATGGAATGTTGCATATATTGCCAGGGTGGAATACAGGGAAGGTGTGTGTACGTGTGTGTGTGTGTGTTTGTGTGTGTGTCTGTGTTTGTGTGTGTGTGTGTGTGTGTTTTTTTTGTGTGTCCTTGTGTGTGTGTGTGCGTGTGTGTGTGTGTGTGTGTGTGTGTGTGTGTGTGTGTGTGTGTGTGCCTATGTGCGTGTGTGTGTTTTATTATTATTGTTTTTTATTGCTTGTTTCTTTGTTTGTTTGTTTTTTCTCTCTTTTTTAAGATATTTCTTTCTCCCTTTTCTTTGTTTTTCGTTTTTCTTTTTCTGTTTCCTTTTATTTTATTCTTTTAAGTGTTTTTGATGTTTATTTGTTGCTAATCTTTACCGCCTTCTCCTCCTTCTCCTCTTCTTCCTCCTCCTCCTTCTCCTCCTCCTCCTCCTCCTCTTCCTCCCTCCTCCTCCTCCTCCTGTTCCTCCTCCTCCTCCTCCTCCTCCTCTTCCTCCTCCTCCTCCTCCTGTTCCTCCCTCCTCCTCCTCCTCCTTCCTCCTCCTCCTGTCCTCCTCCTCCTCCTCCTCCTCCTCCTCCCTCGGTACATATAATAACATCATCTCTCCCGTCGAGGCATGTTCAGTAATTACTAACATGTCCTCCGCCTCCCTCCCCCCCCTTCCCCCCTTCCCTTCCTCCTCTCCCTACCTTTCCCCCCCCCCCTTACCTTCCTCCTCCTTCTCTCTCCTCTTCCTCCTCTCCTTTTCCTCCTTCCTTCCTTCCTTCCTTTTCCCTTCTCCCTTACACTTTCCTCTTATTCCTCTTCTCCCTTACCCCTTCCTTCTTCCTCCTCTTCCCCCCTTCTATTCCCTCTTTCCTTCCTCCCTTCTTCTCCTTCTCCTCCCTCCCCCCCCCCCC